ATACAGGTAACGAGTGGAGGACAGAGGAGCCTCTTAAAGAAGAAGTTACAGGTCTGTGAGAGCCAGAAATCTTGCTTGTTTGTAGGTGACCAAATAATTATTTTCCATTATTGTGATTTTGTGATATTGTGATTTATTGTGATTTTCTGGAGAAAAAAAATCTCAATATGTCTGTCATAGTTGACGTGTACCTATGATGAAAATTACAGGCCTCTCTCATCTTTTTAAGTGGGAGAACTTGCACAATTGGTGGCTGACTAAATACTTTTTTCCCCCACTGTAAGTGACAACAAGATATATATAAAGATAATAAATAATAATAATAATTAATAAATCTTACAGCTAGAATAAACCTCTTTAGAATGGCATGGCTACCAAAGTTTTTGTATTTATTTTAGGTAATACCAATTACCGCATCGAAGACATTCTTTAAACAAGTATACTCGGTGATAACTTACTTTATATGGGCAAATAAAATTCATAGAATAAAAATAAAAGTCTGAGGGTGATTTTTAACCTTCCACCCTTGGTATTGTATCAACTCGCTACCCAAGGCTTTTACTTGTGACATATAGTTAAATCCACTAAAGAGGAACAATGGGTAACATATTGAAGATGCGCATGCTCATCCCCAGTATCTTTTTACGTGTCTATTTTCAAAAGATAAAGCTTAGAACATTAACAACTTCACAGTTAAGAACACATTAACAATATGGAAGATAATGAAACATATTCTACAAGAACCAAAATCACTCCCTTAAAACACAACCTTATGGAACAATCCTTGGATAGTTTTTCAGAATTCACTGATAAATTGGTCCACGTGGAAAACTAAAGACATAGAAACCGTATATGACTTGCTAACAGGAAATATATTTATTTCCATGACAGAATTAAAAAGTAATTTTGGACTGACCAATGTAGATAGTTTCAAATAAAACTTAACAGTTACATATCACATTATTTCTATTTGAAATCTTTTGAACATCATAGCAACCTTGAGGGAATCCTATTTGAGTCAGAAAAGGATGCTCATATGATAGGGAAAATATACAAAACCTTGCAGACAGCATATCCAACTGACAATCTCTTTAAAAAAAAAAATATATATATATATATATATATATAACTATTGGAACCAAGACTTAAAAAGAACTGATGGCACAAGATGGAGGGCATGTTGGAACATAACTAACTAAATTACAGTTAACTAAAATGTACGCTTAATCCAGTATAAACTACTGTATAGAATTTATTATACAAGATACAAAATTCACAATTTCTACAGCACAACGGCAGAGTCATGTCTTAAGTGTAAAACTAATAATGACTCAATAATCCATGCTTTCTGGGAATGCTATAAAGTCCAAACGTTATGGGCGGAGCTAGAAAGTTGGCTGTCAGAAGTACTACAATCCGTCTGTCTGCATATTTCAAGACATGGCACATGGGGGTGTAGTGAGAGACCCAATCGGCTGGATGATTCTTTTCTCATCATTCAACTAGAAAAAACATATACTAAGAACTAGGAAATCAATCAATCTGCAATCATTAACACAATGATTTTATTATTTTAATATTGAAATAGCATGGGCGACCGAGGGAAAAAAACAATTGTACAATTTAAGGCCATGTGGCAAACAACAATGCAGACATTAGTTATGGAGCTGTGAGCATGTGGGTCTGGGCAGGGATGGGGGGTGTGAGCATGCAGGTCTGGGCAGGGATGGGGGGTGTGAGCATGCAGGTCTGGGCAGGTATGGGGGGTGTGAGCATGCAGGTCTGGGCAGGGATGGGGGGTGTGAGCATGCAGGTCTGGGCAGGGATGGGGGGTGTGAGCATGCAGGTCTGGGCAGATGAGATGTAGTCATTGTTTGTGTGTGTCTGTAAGTTGTTGTTCGTATGTATAAGTTTGTATATGGAGTAATAAAATTAAAATGGGAAAAAAAAGGAAAGAAGAAAAAATATATTGAAAGAAACAAAACTAAAATATTGACACCATACAGAAAGGTATGACGACTGACATGTTTGGCAAGATAGCCCCAGCACCACCAGACAACATGTCGATAGGGTACAATATCTGTATTGGCTGTGAATGACAAAAGATGAAATAAAAGTGTCACATTTGCACGTAGTTATATTAGAGCAACTCTGCTTCTACAGTGTTATGTGAAGTATGGTCTATTCTACACCTGGTACACTTGAAAGTTATCAAAACACTTTGTTTAGAATATCTACATAAGTTCAGCAATTTCATTCTCATATGTCCCTGCAGGCTACTCGGTATGAGAAGAGGGCCATACCTGCTGGACCCATGGGTAGAAGCAAAGCTCGGTCATATCCAGGAAGGAGTGTCGTGCACATGTACATTTACGTCATTTAGCAGACGCTCTTATCCAGAGCGACTTACAAATTGGTGTATTCACCTTATAGCCAGTAGTACAACCACTTTACAATGTTTTTTTTTTTTATGATGTGTTTCTTTTTTTTTTAGGGGGGGGGGGGGGGGGGGGGGGGGGGGGGGGGGGTTGGGGTAAGGGGCGGGGTAGAATGATTACTTTATCCTATCCCAGGTATTCCTTAAGGAGGTGGGGTTTCAAATGTCTCCGGAAGGTGGTGAGTGACTCCGCTGTCCTGGCGTCGTGAGGGAGCTTGTTCCACCATTGGGGTGCATTACATTGATGGAATGGGACTTCATCACCCACTGGAGACTTGAAGACAGACGAATCCTTAGATTTTGGGCAGATAGACCATAGAAATCTAAATTCCATTCTAGTTCTGGTTAGACAGCTGAAGTTGTACTCTACACATAACATTATTTTTATTTGTCATGTAAAGTGTGGTATACGGTCTATAAGCACATCAATTAGATAGCTACAACAGAACATGTTTTTGTCTTTAACGCAAACATCGATTTTAGTTGTATCTACACTCAAGCTGGGCGATGTTTGTGCAATGTCCACATGTAGCCTACACCTGTAAGGATATTAGTTCTGGGATTATGTCAACATGTAGCCTACACCTGTAAGGATATTAGTTCTGGGATTATGTCAACATGTAGCCTACACCTGTAAGGATATTAGTTCTGGGATTATGTCAACATGTAGCCTACACCTGTAAGGATATTAGTTCTGGGATTATGTCCACATGTAGCCTACACCTGTAAGGATATTCGTTCTGGGATTATGTCAACATGTAGCCTACACCTGTAGGGATATTAGTTCTGGGATTATGTCCACATGTAGCCTACACCTGTAAGGATATTAGTTCTGGAATTATGTCAACATGTAGCCTACACCTGTAAGGATATTAGTTCTAGGATTATGTCCTCATGTAGCCTGTAATCTGTAAGGATATTAGTTCTGGGATTATGTCAACATGTAGCCTACACCTGTAGGGATATTAGTTCTGGGATTATGTCCACATGTAGCCTACACATGCAAGGATATTAGTTCTGGGATTATGTCCTCATGTAGCCTGTAACCTGTAAGGATATTAGTTCTGGGATTATGTCAACATGTAGCCTACACCTGTAAGGATATTAGTTCTGGGATTTGTCCCCCAGGACAGATCTAACAGCAGACGTGAGGAGAGACAAGAGCAGTTATAGAATATCGTGCAAGGTGTTGTAGAACGAGTGTCTTATGAAACTCATACCAGTCACTAGCTCTTACTATCTAGCCTTAACTGATTAATATAGACATAGAAATATAATCTAGATAGGATCAGGGCTGTGGCGGTTAACGAAATTTCGTCAGCCGGTGATTGTCAAGCAAATAACTGTCGGTCTCACGGTAATTGACGTTAATGAACATAAAAACATTTTAGCATCTCCTGGCTTCCACACACAGTCTACAAGCCACTGATGCAGACCTTTGGAACATCTACATTTTAAAAAGTATAATGAATCCATGTAATATAGCGTACACCTTCACAATAAATCCATTGTTTATTTTAGACAGGTCTAAAGAAGCATGATATGAAGTTAATGTAGTCTATTTCAGAAGAACAGAATAGCATACTCTGAGTTGTCCTGATGTTAGTTCCTTATCTGGCTATGCGGTTAACAAAGAAATAGGTCCTCCTATATGCTTCATTTAGAGTTATTAATGTAACTTTAGTTGTGATACAAACGTTGGGCTATATGTTTTGATTTTTAATACATTATAAGACTGCATGATGCGACTTATGATCATTTGAAAAAAGTCACTTGAAAGGAATGAGCGCTGCTTTGTTTTTTTCCACAGGCTGAACACACTTTATCAGTCTCTCATTCACAACTTGACAAGCATAATGATGATGCCTCGAATTTCACGGTGGCGTCCCCTTTGTGTGGCCGTAATGCACCATAAAAGAATCCATGCCTTTTGCGGCCAGTGGCTGTTGTGCCCTTGGCCCGGAGTGCTGCGTTATCATAGGACGGCCAAGCTATGCTAGCTAGCTGCTGTCCGCTTGGATAAACACAAGGTCAGCGCAGGCTTTAGCCTACACCAGGGTTCTTCAATTCCGGTCCTGGAGGGCCGAAACACTTCTGTTTTTTATTTCTACCTGGTAGTTAATTGCACTCACCTGGTGTCCCAGGTCTGAATTAGCCCCTGATTAGAAGGAGAGGATGAAAAACAGAGGTGTTTTCGGCCTTCCAGGACCGGAATTGAAGAACCCTGCCCTACACATAGAACTGACCATGTAGAGATGGGCGAGTCAGTCAGGAGGGGAGAAGTCCTCAACTTCAAAACTTCGTTCTCTCCATAGCAACGCCGTACTCACTACTGCCCTTTTGGTGTGATTGGATGGCAAAGACACACCCAAGAAACCCCCCACATCAAGCCACACGCACAAGACAACTCTCGTTTGCCTTCAGTCATGGCCGCTAGCATTTTCTTAATGAGCATGGATGGAAAAACAAATCAGGAAGTGCAGTCGCTCTTTAAGGCCTAATGACGCATTCATTAAACCCTTCATAAGGCCTACGTAGTTCATTTTGTAATTTCATCAAATCAATGAAGATATCTGAGCTGGAAGTAAGACCTGCTTATGTTAAGTCCTCTGTCATCACATTTCTCTTGCTCTCTTTTGTTGTTTCAGAAAGAGTTTGAGCGACTGGACCTGTCTGTGGTCCAGATCTTTGTGATGATGGTCGGAGAACTGAATTACCAAAGCAACATTCTGGACAAATACCTAGACGACAAACTTCCATTTCCCTTCCTCACTTTCCATATGTTTGTGATGCTTGTTATCCTCATGCCGATCCTGCTGATGAACATGATGGTAAGCCTCTCCATGACCTAAAGCGTGTCCAGCTCATTCACTGGAGGGACCAATGTCTCAGGGTTTTCACTCCTTCCGTGTACATGATTGGAACTCCCCTCACCTGGTTATTTAGGTCTTAATTAGACACAAATTGAAAGGAAATAACAAAAAACCAGCACACACACGGCCCCCTCCATGGAATGACCTTGACACCCCTGGTCCATCTCAACAGTCCAAAATGGCTTCCCTCTCCTTGTCTCCTTTCCTGTTGACGAATGGAAGGAAGGATGAGGCGAGAAAGCCACTTCAGATTATTGAAATGCAGCCTCACATTTCACAGGAAAGATGGTTCTTATTTGGTTGTGTTGTAGGCAGGTCTATTGGGATGTCTTATCCTGGAGGCAAAACTGAGCTATTTCCACTAGATGGGCCAGCTGCAAAGTCAAAATTGGATATATTGTAAAAAATTCATGAAAACAAAAACTAGCTTTTTGGTCTTCATTTAAGGTTAGGGTTAGGCATTAGGGTTAGCAGTGTGGTTAGGGTTAGGGTTAGGTTTGTATGACTTTGTGGCTGTGCCAGCTAATGACCACTCTGCAGAGCTGCCTCCATAAACAAGATTCATGACTAAAAACGCTAACCTACGTGTTGTAGATCGGTTTTGCGGTCGGAGACATCGCTGAGGTACAGAGAACCGCAGCTCTGAAGAGAATAGCCAGGCAGGTATGTAGCTGACCCTCAGTCCTTTTATTAAGATAAAATTACACACAGAATACATAACATCTAATGGATTCTTGTTCAGTGTGTTGCATCTTTCCTCAAAGTCCTCATTTTATCAAATCCCTTTAGATGTTCTTCACTGACGTGTATTGTAGTATTGTAAAGTTGTTCTGATGGGGTCAATATCACTTCATCATACTGTAGCTAATTATAGACTTCAAAATATTCCTTAACCTTTCTTCAATATAACAAAATGCCATTCTTGCTGATTTTGTTGACTGAAGGCGTTGATGTATTTATGTCAGATTGAGCTCCACACCAATCTGGAGGAGAAGATGCCATACTGGTTGTTGAAGAGAGTGGACCAGTCATTCATCACCATCTACCCCAATCACAAGTGCTCCAAGGTGGGTATGGCTCCTGGTTAGGGTTGCAAAACGCTGGTAACTTACCCAAAATTCCCAGGTTTTCCAGAAAACCCGGTTAAAACATTCGAGGAATCAGGAGGGAACAAGCAGGATTCTTCAACCAGGATTTTGGTCAAGTTACCGTCATTCTGCAACCCTATTACCTGGTGCTTACCAGTGATGTGGTGGAAAGAAAAAGGTTGGTAGGAATAAACGCTGATCACCGTTTGAGGTGAATAAAGCAATGCTCCCTGTCTTTTCAATGCATTTTTACGCTCGCACAAAATACAAAAAAATTATGTAAACAGCGTTCACCATCCCAGTGTGGAAACTAAAACAGTGTTCACCCTCTACCAACATAAGTGAATGGTGTGTAGATTGATGTCACCCTCCAATATCCCACTATAGGTGAATGGTGTGTAGATTGATGTCGATTGGTGTCTATGTCAATATAGAGATAGAGGTTGATATATATATATTTATTATACACACACATATATATATATATATATATATACAGTATACTGTATATAGTGTATATATAAGACTTACTGTGCTCAATCTCTATGCTAAATAATAACAGAACTGTGTAGAAGGCAGGGTTTGGAGTGATCAATGGTTCCTTGTTCTTTTTTCAAAAGGCCTCAATACTTAATTATTTCTGGAGTCAAGGAGAAGCAAACAAAGTGCGTACTCGTCTAATGACCAGCTCATCAAATTCAACCCCTGTCGAAGCTCAACTACGCAAACACAAGTACAGGTGAGTCGCACACACACACACGATCAGAGATCTGGATTGTTTTGTATGGTGCGTCAGCAGCCTCTAGTGGTCTAATGTAAAAACCAGTGGCTCTCTTCGAGGTAGACTATAGCCACAGCACAGGTTGATTTGACCAAATGTTGCTTTTTATGTTTTACCTGTTTTTAAAAGCAACTCAGTTTGTAAGAAAGGGCATGTATGCTGTTAACACTAAGAGTATTGTAACTAAGCAGAGCAACAAGGAAAGCCTCCCTACTGTAACTAAGCAGAGCAACAAGGAAAGCCTCCCTACTGTAACTAAGCAGAGCAACAAGGAAAGCCTCCCTACTGTAACTAAGCAGAGCAACAAGGAAAGCCTCCCTACTGTAACTAAGCAGAGCAACAAGGAAAGCTTCCCTACTGTAACTAAGCAGAGCAACAAGGAAAGCTTCCTTACTGTAACTAAGCAGAGCAACAAGGAAAGCCTCCCTACTGTAACTAAGCAGAGCAACAAGGAAAGCCTCCCTACTGTAACTAAGCAGAGCAACAAGGAAAGCCTCCCTACTGTAACTAAGCAGAGCAACAAGGAAAGCTTCCTTACTGTAACTAAGCAGAGCAACAAGGAAAGCCTCCCTACTGTAACTAAGCAGAGCAACAAGGAAAGCTTCCTTACTGTAACTAAGCAGAGCAACAAGGAAAGCCTCCCTACTGTAACTAAGCAGAGCAACAAGGAAAGCTTCCTTACTGTAACTAAGCAGAGCAACAAGGAAAGCCTCCCTACTGTAACTAAGCAGAGCAACAAGGAAAGCCTCCCTACTGTAACTAAGCAGAGCAACAAGGAAAGCCTCCCTACTGTAACTAAGCAGAGCAACAAGGAAAGCCTCCCTACTGTAACTAAGCAGAGCAACAAGGAAAGCCTCCCTACTGTAACTAAGCAGAGCAACAAGGAAAGCCTCCCTACTGTAACTAAGCAGAGCAACAAGGAAAGCCTCCCTACTGTAACTAAGCAGAGCAACAAGGAAAGCTTCCTTACTGTAACTAAGCAGAGCAACAAGGAAAGCCTCCCTACTGTAACTAAGCAGAGCAACAAGGAAAGCTTCCTTACTGTAACTAAGCAGAGCAACAAGGAAAGCCTCCCTACTGTAACTAAGCAGAGCAACAAGGAAAGCCTCCCTACTGTAACTAAGCAGAGCAACAAGGAAAGCCTCCCTACTGTAACTAAGCAGAAACCTTGAGAAACCAGTCAGACTGCTAAAACCACACGTTTCTATATGTTCCAAACTGAAGGAGATACCCAATGTGCACGTTTCTATGTTCAAAACCATATGTATATTTCCATATAATCCTATACAGACTAAAGGAGATATCCAGTGTGCTGGAGAAGCAGCACGACCTGATAAAGCTGATGATCCAGAAGATGGAGATCACCTCGGAGGCAGACGAACATGACGGGCCCACAGAGGTCAAAGGTAACAGGCAGAGGTCAAACTGGGGCCAAGCAAAGGGCTCCAACTGGATCCCGCTGATGAAGGTCCTCGAGCGCAAGAAAGTTTGAGTCCTTCACCTTACTGGTGACTAGGGTTGCAAAATTCCATTCGTCGGTTTTTCAGAAATCCTGGGTGGAAGATCCCCGGGATTTGAAGGGAATAAACAGGAAAATCAGAATCCTCCAACCAGGATTTGTGAAAACCAGGGGAATTTTGGGAAAGCCCAGAATTGCGCATCCTTATTGATGACCATCTGACAACTAAGATATTAACGCTAGTCAACATAAGCCATATTATTAAAGAATACTTAAAATACAGAAAATTGTCATCTTTATATATATACAATACTTGAACTGATATTGTTTTTAAAATGTACTGTAGAAAACTATGATTAGCATGAATGACTTATCAGTAGGGATACTAGTGCTGATGCACTTTTGATGATTAATTATGGAACTCTCTCTCTCTCTCTCTCTCTGCAAACGCTATACTTGTATTTTTCAATGCGTTGATAGATTTTTGTATGCATGTAAGAATAATTGCATGTGATTGAAATAATTTGAATATTCTCTGTATCTTTTATCTTATAGTCTGAAACGTATTGGAACTGAATGGTTGTATTTTGGATGGAACCAATAAAACAAAAATCAAACCATGCTTATATATGTGTGAGGAAATCACACGACAGAACTATTATCCACAAACTAGTCAGCAGCATAAACACATTTCTTATAGACCTAGTGTTGCAGAAATCTGATAACTTTTCCAAAATTTCCAGATTTGACAGAAATCCTGGTTGTAAGATTCCTGGAATCAGCATGGAATAAGCAAGAACTCTGGGAATCCTCCAACCATGATTTCTGGAAAACCTGGGAATTTTGGGAATTTTTGCAATCCTATAACACCCCAGAAACTTCCTCCAAAAGGGACAGGCCTTGGTTTTGTGTGTATAATGAGATTAGGGGGAAGCCCATGAGGAAGATATGGATATAGGTCAGCAGTCCTGTGTGACCGATGGGCCTTCTCCGGGCAGATTGAAAGAGGAAAGCCTTAAACCGATCCACACTAACCACAGCAGCCTTAAACAGATCCACACTAACCACAGCAGCCTTAAACCGATCCAAGCTAACCACAGCAGCCTTAAACCGATCCACACTAACCACAGCAGCCTTAAACCGATCCACACTAACCACAGCAGCCTTAAACCGATCCACACTAACCACAGCAGCCTTAAACCGATCCACACTAACCACAGCAGCCTTAAACCGATCCACACTAACCACAGCAGCCTTAAACCGATCCACACTAACCACAGCAGCCTTAAACCGATCCACACTAACCACAGCAGCCTTAAACCGATCCACACTAGCCACAGCAGCCTTAAACCGATCCACACTAACCACAGCAGCCTTAAACCGATCCACACTAACCACAGCAGCCTTAAACCGATCCACACTAACCACAACAGCCTTAAACCGATCCACACTAACCACAGCAGCCTTAAACCGATCCACACTAACCACAGCAGCCTTAAACCGATCCACACTAACCACAGCAGCCTTAAACCGATCCACACTAACCACAGCAGCCTTAAACCGATTCACACTAACCACAGCAGGAACACATTTACAATAACTCCTGAGAAGAGTATCTCTCTCTCCCTCTGTGTGTGTGTGTGTGTGTGTGTGTGTGTGTATGTGTGTGTGTGTGTGTGTGTGTGTGTGTGTGTGTGTGTGTGTATGTGTAAAGAAACACTGCTCTGCTGAGGGAACCTCTCAACACTTTCTTTTGAAGCGAGGGATGTGAAAAAGAAAAGAGAGAAAAATAGAAAAACCTTGTACAAACAAGATCAGATTAGCCTTTACCCAGCCCTACTCTAAACCCAACGTGCTAACAGACTAGCCTTTACCCAGCCCTACTCTAAACCCAACATGCTAACAGACTAGCCTTTACCCAGCCCTACTCTAAACCCAACATGCTAACAGACTAGCCTTTACCCAGCCCTACTCTAAACCCAACGTGCTAACAGACTAGCCTTTACCCAGCCCTACTCTAAACCCAACGTACTAACAGACTAGCCTTTACCCAGCCCTACTCTAAACCCAACATGCTAACAGACTAGCCTTTACCCAGCCCTACTCTAAACCCAACGTGCTAACAGACTAGCCTTTACCCAGCCCTACTCTAAACCCAACGTGCTAACAGACTAGCCTTTACCCAGCCCTACTCTAAACCCAACGTGCTAACAGACTAGCCTTTACCCAGCCCTACTCTTAACCCAACATGCTAACAGACTAGCCTTTACCCAGCCCTACTCCAAACCCAACGTGCTAACAGACTAGCCTTTACCCAGCCCTACTCCAAACCCAACGTGCTAACAGACTAGCCTTTACCCAGCCCTACTCTTAACCCAACGTGCTAACAGACTAGCCTTTACCCAGCCCTACTCTAAACCCAACATGCTAACAGACTAGCCTTTACCCAGCCCTACTCTAAACCCAACGTGCTAACAGACTAGCCTTTACCCAGCCCTACTCTTAACCCAACGTGCTAACAGACTAGCCTTTACCCAGCCCTATTCTAAACCCAATATGCTAACAGACTAGCCTTTACCCAGCCCTACTCTGAACCCAATATGCTAACAGACTAGCCTTTACCCAGCCCTACTCTAAACCCAACATGCTAACAGACTAGCCTTTACCCAGCCCTACTCTAAACCCAACATG